GTAGGTAACTACTCTTTAACAAATTGTGCAATCTAATGATTGTTTCATAAAGTTGCATACGATTGGATACGGAAGCATCTTTATGACACAATCACACATTAAATGCTTGAGGGTCCTGCGCAGTATCTTTGCTGTTCCTACAACTGTGATCTTCTGGATAGAAATCTCGGATGTTGTTCCTGGAATTTGCTGGAGTCAATCACCTAGCTTTGGGGTCACTGCCCCGAGTGTTCCTATTACCACTGGGACCACTGTTGCCTTCACCCTCCACATTTTCTCAAGTGCTTCTCTCAGCCTTTGACAAGAATCAGGACCCAGACACACGCCATTGCACCTTGCTATGTGTTTTATTGATACAGGCTTTTACACACTCTGTATGAGCAGCTTTCCAGTCATTCCACTCTTTCCACTGGTCCAAGAAAAATCCTTAAAAAGGGAGACATGATTTGATAATGGAGGTCAGGTTCCATATTTGTTCTGTAAAGTGTCCTTTAGTGTTTTGAAAGGCGCTTTTAAATAAAATGTATTATTGTAACCACTGAATTGGCACACAGGCACAGTAGCCCTCAGTACATTTTTTTGACAGCCATGTTAACATGACACAAAGTTACTTTCCTTTATGAAGTTGGCTCGCCATCTTCTCTATCTGTACTAGCCATTAAGAGGGTGTAGTGTTAGAGAGATGTAGTGGGACACATTTAACAAAGACCAAGCTTTCTTTCATTTTGAGCTTTTATTTTGTTATTTGATCCAAATGGTTTGACAAAATCCACTGAAAACAATCAAAATAGAGATTATTGTAAGTGTGTAAGAATTAACTTCCAATCAACCGTTATCCTGTCATTTAGGGGATGACATTATCTTTTTGCAATATCTGATGCAATATAGACATTTTACATTCTTATGTCTAATTTGATTGGAGGAAGGAGCTGTCCAATCAAAACTTACTGTTCTTATAACCCTTAAAACGAGAGGTTCAAATACTTCCCAGTAAAAGCAAAGTTGTTTGACTGAGCTCAGAGGATTTTGTGAAGTCTGATAAAGATTTACTACATATTTTATCAATATTTGCTTTGCCTTTTTTCTTCTCCTCTTCAACTTCCAAACAGAATATGTCTTCACAGAATACTTCAATCAATGTAACACACTTTATTATAGGTGGTTTTGACACACTCAGTAGACCTATTGCTGTTGGCGTGGTTATCCTAATAACCTATCTTCTTGCTGTTCTTGCCAATATGGCAAATATCATGTTTATTATTTCTGACAAGAGATTACATAAACCAATGTATCTTCTGATTTGCAACCTTGCTGTTGTTGATATAATGTACACCTCCAGTTGCAGTCCAACAATGATTGGGGTTCTACTCGCAGGTGTTAATACTATATCCTATATGGCATGTTTAATTCAAATGTGTGTTTTCCATTTGGGAACAGCGATGGAGTCATTTGTTTTAGCAGTTATGGCATTGGATAGATTCATTGCAATAATTTATCCTTTCCAGTATCACAGTTATTTAACAAACACACGTGTTCTTGTTCTTACATTTATCGTGTGGTTTGTTAACTGTTTTTTTATGTGTTACATGCCTGCAACAGCTGTCCCTCTCCCACACTGCAGCTCCAGGCTTAGGTATACTTTCTGTGACTTTGCTGCTGTAATAAGAACGACCTGTGTTAATCCAGAAAAACATTTCAATGACGCTGCCATTATAGCATTTTTTATTTTATTTTTCACTTTTGTTTTCATTTGTCTTTCATATTGTGGAATCTTACTTTTTGTAAAATTATCTTCAAATAATGAAAAAAAGAAAATGGGGAGCACTCTTGTGAGTCACTTAATTTGTGCAATCGTTCATTACTGTCCTGCGTTTGTGCGCATTATCTTCACCAGGTTTGGTGTGGTATTGACTGTTGAGGAACGCCAAGGTTTATTAATTGGTGCAGTCCTCGGTCCATGTCTTGTAAATCCTTTTGTGTACTTTCTTAGAACAAAAGAAATTAAACAAAAGCTCTTTAAGATTTTCAAAAAGTTTAACACATCTGACTAAAATCTTGTGAACTGAGTGTGCTTTTTATTTTTTTTTAGATAAACACAGAAATACCCCTAACTGATGTCGGTGTAAATTTTCAGAACATTATTTTTTCAAAATGGTTGAAACACCAACCATGCACTTTTATTCTGGCACAAAAGTGAGAATTATTTTACTTTTAGAATACACAAGATATTTGCACCTTAACTATTCAATTAAAATCATACAAAATTTAGAACAAAAGTTTTTAGTGTAACTGTTTTTGTGTCTGTGAGCAACAGTATGCCTTTTTCCTGCTATGCTGTAAACAATCATATTTTAATCAACAAAAACTAATCAACTTTATTTGAACTTTATCCCTCAATAATACTTTTTGCTCGTTTCCAGACCTTCAGTTGTGTCTGATCAGGTGTTTGGAAACTAAGGGCGATCATGGCTCAAGAGTTGGGAGTTCGCCTTGTAATCGGAAGGTTGCCGGCTCGAGCCCCGATTCGGACAGTCTCGGTCGTTGTGTCCTTGGGCAAGACACTTTACCCGTTGCCTACTGGTGGTGGTCAGAGGTCCCAGGGGCGCCAGTGTCCGGCAGCCTCGCCTCTGTCAGTGCGCCCCCGGGTGGCTGTGGCTACAATGTAGCTTGCCATCACCAATGTATGTGTGAATGGGTGGATGACTGGATGTGTAAAGCGCTTTGGGTTCCTTACGGACTAGTAAAGCGCTATACAAATACAGGCCATTTAAGGATAGTATTTAATACCTGAAAGCAATCAGTTTTTATTACATTTCAAAAATGATCAAAATGAATGAATGGCTCCAACACCAGCCTAACATAGTTTAGATAGCTAAGAGAGTGGACTGCTGTATTTTCACAGACATTTCAGTTTGGTTTGTTAAGTGATCCTATATCAAAAAGGCATAAAACAAACGAACAAAAAAAGTTGCTCTGTGTGGGGGACATTTGGAAGGAATGACACGAGTAACTTGGCTCCCAGTAAAAGAAGATGCTTTTTTGTATTGGTAACATCCTCCTCTCATTCCAAATAATTGAGCACTGCTAGCAGCAACTCTTACAGCTCCTCCCATAATTTCGCACTCTGAAAAGGAAATTTCTACACATAGATATACAATAAGATCAGACACAAAGACACCTTTGTGACAGATTCTTAAAGCCTTACACACAGCCTCTGTTATACACATAAAATCATACATTTTCAAAAGCCTGTTATCTACTTGTTTTCTTAATTGGAGAAATTGTGATATTTTTTTTAACAAATTTGTAAATGACTTAATACAGTGGGGCAAAAAAGTATTTAGTCAGCCACCGATTGTGCAAGTTCCCCCAC